GCTGTGGTTTTGCAGGAGAGGTGCAGGAATGATCCCCCAAAGAATGACGCCTACTACCTCTGATGTCTACATTAAAATGTTGCTTATCAGTTTAGAAAGTTTTACAAACCGTATTCCAAATCATTCCCCATATGATTTGGCTTCTCAACCTTTCATTGTCATAATTCTCTTTTATGAATTATTTGCAACATGTCAATATCATTCCTAGACTTTACTGTCTTGAACTAAACAAAGAAGTCCAAATGTAATACTCACATAGCAAGCACAGTATTTGCCCTTTCCTTCTAACAGAAGAGATGTTCTTCTGAACAGCTTCAAAATAGCATTGACTTGTAGCAAAGCAGCATGTTAATTTGTTTAATCCTTATCATTTGTAGTACTTTACATTATTCTTTGCAAGAATTTGTTCTCGTAATGACTACACATCTATGTTTAAGGAATATATGGCACAAACATGCCCATTCACACACAAAACAGTGGCCTTTTAGAAAAGATATCTGAGGAATCCAGCCTAATGATTAATATGAATACCACATAAGCTGTAACCATATGTGAGAAGTAATAGCTGTTTTCTACATAAGCTTTGTGAATCAAACTAATGGTTCATATTTAAAAACAGCTTCATTTTACAATTATACTGAATATTTGTGTAGCATAAAGTCAGAAATAGGATTTCTTTAGCATTTTAATGAATATACAGATTTTTTTTTTGCCAGAAATTAGTTTTTAATCCTTACTATCACAATCACAAACCCTTAAAAAAGTGCAAATTAACAAAAGGATATATTTTATTTCTCTCTTTGGGGAAAATCAGGCAAGTGATCTGTGAGGCAAATAAATAGAACTGACCTCTAGAATCTGTTCTTTATGGGCTCCTTTTGCAATTAAACAACATTTAGGGCAAACTGACTTGTCCTCATATTCTTACCTGTTTGTCTCCTGCCACTTCATATAAGTGCTTCAGACCAACCCAGAACATCTCACCTCCTTTTCCACAATCTCATCTCTTACTGCTTTGTGCTTCCAGCTTCCCCCAGTCCTTTTTATTTTTCTTTCCTTCCCCCTTGTTTCAAGATTTCACTCCATGATACCTCTCTTCTCTCCCTCCCTAATGAGAAGTTGTCTGTCTCCCTTTTAAACTCCTCACTCTCTTCCTGCTCCACCCTCTTTGAAATGCCACCTGTCAGCTAATCAGAGTTTCACCTTCCCAGCTTGGTTGGTTGGCCTTGAGTGCATTCTGCCAGCTTCCTCATCAGATGCTGGTGCCTGCTGCCAGTCAGGGAGTGGCTTTCCTTTGGAGAGGTCAGCAGCCAAGACCCTCTAATCGCCTTTCATGAGTGACAACCTCCCATTAGGCCATATCTCAAAGAGTAGTAAGTTGTAGTTCTTAAATATAACTCACGTTTCCAGTGTAACAGAAATTTCAAAGAAATTTATTACACATTTGGAAGTACACTGTTGCCATAGACATAGTAATCTTATTTAAATATATTAGTATGGGATGTTACAATTAGCTTACATGACTAGAATTATCTTCTGCATAAAAAAATAAATGTAGGCTCTAGTACTATGGGAAAACAACACATGAATTCAACAGATATGAAAAAATATATAAGATTTACAGTAAAAGCATATTAATAAGAATTATGCTGTATCCTAACAATACTGAAACCATGTTTCAGCAGTCCTTTGAAAACTGTTTAATTGCATACATTAAATGTATGTCATCCAAACCTATTTTGTCATATCTTCAATACCACTTCAGGAAAGAGTGTTAAAGTCAAATCTGTTTATATAGAACATCCAATTAAAAATAAATTAATGTATTACAACACAATTGTAGAACAAAATTGTTGACAAAGTAAGATTTCTTCGTCCCCTTCTTAAAAATCTGTAAAAGTCTTGAAAATATGAGAACTTAAATTATACAGCACATATGCATGGCATAAGAAAGAGAAACTTCCACAATTAACAGGAATAAATAATTGTTGTGCCTGCCAAAATATATCAGTACTATATGCATTCATGAACTGTACAGAATTCTAATGCTACCATTCAACAGACATATAATACTGTAATAAGAACTGCCGTATCCTAATCTTCTCACGGCAATAATTTCAAACTGATATTATTATTCTCATTTCCTTGAATAATATCCATACTCCAGGGTCATTTTCCTTCTCATATTCAATATTGTGCATGCTTGTATCAAGATTCCTTTCTTCATATCCTGTCACAGTATCAATCACTGCCTCCTGTCCACTCAATCCACTTTTGATTTATCAGCCACCGTCTTTCTGGACTCCATAACTCGACCCAAACCATTTTAACAAGACATTGACAAATAGCACTCACTATCACATCAACCTGTTCCACTTAGTAAACTAAGAAACACTAACTGTGACATCTCTGCATAAGTATTCTATTCCATTCCCCAGACTGATGTATATTAATGAGGAGATGGCATTTGAAATGCTTCTTCCACATCAGCATCTAATATGATCAAATTAGGAAATGGGATGATTTATTAAATTTTGTAGAGCTGAAATATTTCTTTATATCACTATATCTGTGGTTTCAGAAAGTGAGCTGTTGCTTTCAATTTTTCTGCTGAGCATGTGCCTACATTTCACAGACGAATTATTGTCTTTAAAAAAATTGCGAGAAGAAGAAATGTTATTAAGCAAATGCTCAGTAAAACAAACTAAATCAGTTTTAAATTCCTAATTTAATGTAAATCTTGGTTGTTTTGCTAAAATTCAGTTTGTGATCTTATTAAGTCTTATTTGCATCTTACTATTTTGCTAAAGGACAATTTTAAATTTATAACATTACTAGGGAGCCTCAATCTGAAATAAAATAATTGCAATATGCAGGATGAAGAAAATTTGTTATTGGAAAAAATACATAAGATAACTAAAAGGAAAACAATTAACTTTCATGTTTTGAATTAAGAGTTTGCACTTCAAAATTGATTTTGTTTAACACTTGGCAGAGTGAAGTGCTTAAACTTCATTTATAATCCTAATTTTTACAAGAAAAAACAGAATGCAGCATTAAATGAAAGTACATTATATTGCAAAATGTCATGGCTTTCATGATAGGGTCAAAATGTGAAAAACTTGTCCCAAAATAATTGAACAAAGGTTATATACAACCTTGAATTATTTTCTTACATTTTCTGTAACTGTGAAGTCTCCATTCACTGACAAAACCATCAAAGGCCAAACACAAGCCCTTTTCAATAGGACTGCTTTATTTTAAATAGCCTTTGATGACCCAGGCTAAGTATTAAAAGGGAATGAGTTTTAAGTATTTTTTAAATTAGACAATCCTTGGAAATGTATAAAAGCACGTAGTATCTCCCTTAGAAGACTATATATCTGAACATTTCCATAAGGTAGAGCTCAAAGTGATTTGTTTAAAGAGATGGATTAAACAAGTACCTTGGATTTCAGGATAATCAGACATACATGTATATAAGAAAGAAAACCATCTACATAAAACCAAGGGCACAACATAACAGCTTTAAACGTAGCAACAAATGAATTATCACCATGTATTCTCAAGAACAAAAAATAAAGAAAATTTAAATCCAATATACCAGTAAGTAACAAAACAAGAAATTAGTGTAAAGGGTCTTGACTCCTTATTTACAGATGGGATTCTGTTCTACATAAAGCTACATAAATTCATCATACACAAGCTAACAAACTCATTCTTATTTACTGATTCATACATTCAATTTATATCCTACCATTCAGTTCAGGTTACCCGGCAGGACAATCTATAATGCTTTAGGTTTCAAGCCATTTACAGATCCACACCCATTACAAAACAACTTATTACTCATGTTCAGAAGCAGGAGACATCTAAACCCAATCACACTTTGCACATATTGCCTCCCAAATGTTGCCCCTTTCACAGACACCGAGACATCCCCACACTCACAGATCCGAACAAGAGCTTAGCACTATCCCAACAGCTACAACCATGTGCAAGCATGTGTGCCTATTCCACCCAATCTACTCCAACCACTTACCACTGCCAAGGAAGTATCAATACAGTTGTATCAGCAAAAAGTTCTCCAGGTGTCACTGCCACCAAAACAATCCCTCCTTAGGTCTCAAGTTAGCTCTCCACTGCCCCACAGCACCAGATCAGATTTCCTTTTCTTTTAAGACTGTGGACATTCTGCATTTGTTTTCCATTTCCCTCAGAAAGTAGACAAGATCTTTTTAAATTATTTTTAATTCCATTAATTTGGAATTATCATCAACAATATTAGAATCAAAAATATATACAATTTTAATTTGTATGTTGAACTCTTTCATGTACAACTGAATCTGCCCAATCCTATATCACAATGTCCTTAGGCATTCTGTATCATTCATAATGACTGCATATTGGCAGCAAATGGCTTCCTCCCTATCTACTGACCTTCCTGATTTAAAATCAAATATATAGTTCTCCTTAGTGTGAAAATGTGGTTCCTATTTTCTATTGCTGCCATCAAAACAAAATGTTATGAACCCAAGAATTTGTATGTAAAACTTGATGTTTTCAAAATTAAACATTTTATTCACAAACATCTGCATCTACAGTTAAACATTCTTCTGAATTCTAAAATTGAATGTACTCTTTTTTACATTTTTTAAAGAAAAGTGTTAAAGCATCACTGGCAGTAATAGCTTTAAGAAAAGACGATGGTTTCTACAGAACATCAGGATGTTGTCAAACTCAGACAGCTTACAGATTCACAAACAAAATATCCTATTTCAGAAGTCTATTATGATTTCATACATTCAGGTTTCAGTGTAGAATATCTGATGCCAACAACTATTAGCATGCTTCAGCACATCCAAATAACAAGCTATTTGAACCTGTTGCATTGACATTATATAGCACCTAAAATTAACATGGGATAGCTATCACCACAGATGTTGAGATTAGAAATATGTCATGTGGTTTATCTTATTTTCACAGGAACATTCTCATACCTTCTTGTTCTGCTTTTTGATCTTGATCTCTGAGACCGATATGATTTTCCTCGTCCTCCTGATCGGCTCCGGCTCCGTTTTCTCTTGGATCCATATGAAGAGCTACTACTAGATCGATGTCTGTGCCTAAAACAACAGACATCACCAGAAAATTTAGTGGGACATAAAGTAGTTAATGTTCCTCACCTACACAGCCACTGAGTCAGGCATTCTAACATATATACTGTGAAACACACACATGCACGCAGGCATAAAAACCTACTCAATCTTTATTTATAGGCCTTACTCTAGTTGCCCACACCTTCAGTGGTGAGGTGGACGGCAACTGTGGATAAGAACTTCTCTCTAGATGTACTGATGCACTGAATCTTTCTCTCTTCCTCCCTCCCCACCCCCATGAAATGCCTACTTGGAACCAACTTTGTTACGGACCGGATAAAAAATGTTCTACTTCTAGTTTGATCCAATATTTTGCACTAAATGTAGAAATAAAAATGAATTTAACCCTTTGCCCGTGAAAGATATTTTCACTACTTCATGTAATTTTGCTGTAGTTTATTATTTAGTTCAATTTTAGAAAGTGTTAACTTTGAGATAATCTATTTTGTATAATTTTGCAAATTGTTCTATGAAGTTTCTGTAACTTTGAAATCACCCTTGAAATCTCCCGAATGATCCTGTCAGCCCAATGAAATTAAGTTGAGAGACTCTTGCACACCCCACCTCTATGTTTGGTAGGAACTCAAGGAAAGGGCTTTCTCGGTAGCAGTAACCAAGCTTGCAGAACTCTCTGCACTAGGAGATCAGCATGGCTACCACTTCCCTGTCTGTTTATAAGGTCAATTTTGTCAATTCAAGTGTTTAATATGGCAAATCATTTTGACATAGTTAGCTTCACCAGCTGTCCCTGCCTGTTTCTAATTGTTTCTTTTTTATCATATGATACTATTTAAATTATTTGGGTTATTTTGTTTTTAATCAGATTTTAATCAAATATTTATTTATTTAAAACTTTTGTATGCCATCCCTTATGCCTTGGCATCTCGGGACGGCTCACAATCCATAAAATTTAAATACAATAATACAATAATAATAAAATCACATGTATAAAACGTAATTCAATAAAAATTTACATAAAAGACAAAATCAAAGCGACTGTTCGACACAATTAAAATATTAATTTTTAAAATACTGCTTAAATAAAAAGGTTTTGACCTGGCGCCGAAAAGAATATAAACTCGGCACCAGACGCACTCTCCAGGGAGCTCATTCCATAATCTGGGCACCACCGCAGAGCTATGTTGGGCACTATATGTTGGAAAATCCCATAGAAATCGTCTTATAATTAAAATAAAAGCAACTCTAAAATGTTTATTTGATAATTCAATACTTCATTTGGCTGTCTATGGATTATTTTAGCCCTAACCCACTAACTATCCATATATACCGAAGAAGAGAAGTTATACGAGTACACCACTTTTCTTACTTGTAACACCTATGTCAGAAATTCCCGTTACTTTGGTGTTTATGCTCTATTATGTTATTGGGAAGAGATGCTACATGATACTCAAACTGGTTATCCACTTTTGCAAACAAACATCCCAGATGTGCAGCAGGTTGCCTCCACTGTTTTTGGTAAAATGAACCTCAATCCCACCCATGAAAAATTGTAGGGAAGAGGTGGCTAACTCTAGGAAGTATACATTTTTCATTGTCTATATTAATCTATAAGCAGGGGTTGGGAAAGAATAGGGAATAAATAAAAAAACAAACTTACATATAATCCAAGCAGACCAAAACAATTTAAGACGATAGGAAATTTCCCATGCAAATATTGCCCCAAAAAAATCCCCTCTCCTGTTATTCAACTTCTCAAACTCACAACTTGCTCACTTACTGCATGGGAAGGTTGTTGGCTCTCAGTGAAATTATTTTAATTTGATGGGACAGCACAGTCTAATTCACTTAAGATTAGTTTCACTTGAGATTAGTTTCCTATCATTAGATGCAAATGTCCATATATTCTGACTGGCTTTGGAAGACAAAACTTGTAGTTCCCACTTGTTTAGATGAAGAATAAAGTTTCCTTCTTCCAAACATTAAGCTGTTTCCCAAACAGAATACAGAGTCAGAGATGTTTCCCTAATTCCACACTCAAGAAAAGCTTGTCTGCAGTACTATTTAGAGGTGCTTGGATCACCTCCAAGTTAAGCATGTCATGCATCTGTAGCACTTGTGAAATGAACTGCAAGGAATCCTCCTCCCTCCCACCAAACTGTGGAGACAGATGCTCACCATGGTGGACAAATGTGTGGATTTCTGATTAAGTCAACAATTTATAGCAAACTCTTATGCATATTTACTCAGAAATACAACAATCAATGGGATATATGCCTAAACATGTACAGTGCTGCATCCTAACACTTTCTCCATGAATATTCTATTCCCCACCTCCAGACCATTTCTGTTATTGTAGTGACTATAGTGTCCATAATCTACTGAGCTGAAAGTTCCAACCTAGCAGAAATTCATACCAGTGGGAGCCACTTCAAAGCTGTAGAAGTTTTTGTGCCATTTTCCCCATCTTCTCCTTTGACCAGAAATGGGGAATGGGATTTACAGACAGGAAAACTGTAGTTACTCTTTCCATTTCTTCTCTTTGGACCACTAGGAAGGCTGGCCAAAGTTTTTAAATATATTTTCCTTCACATGCCTACCCAACTGCACAGCTATGAAAATCTACTTGTACTACTATCTACTGGACAGAAAAATTTCCATGGGAAAATTTCTACATCGTTTAACCAAAGTTATTTGGAACTACTGCACTACAATCAATCATGTTAGATAAGTAAAATTTTCACCCTGTTCTGGACAGGGTTGCACTCCCCCTTAAGGGACAGGATACATAGTTTTGAAGTGCTCCTCAACCCAGAGTTATCCTTGGAGTTCCAGGTGACTATCAGAGAGGTGTGCCTGGCACCAACCCTTCACTCATTTTGGTACCAAGCCAAAAATTTTATTTTCCCTGTATTTTGAAAAATTAGTTATGATTTTAATATTGGTTTTATTAGATTTATATTCTATTGTACATTACCACTACAGTAGTACCTCAGCTCACAAATGTCTCGGTTCACAACCAAATCGGGTTGCAAAAATTTCATAAAATTTTTTACTCAGGTCGCGAACTCCAAATTGGGTGGCGACCACGACCATCTCCCCTCCCCCAAGTGGGAAGATGGCTGGGATCGTGCCCGTCTTTCCTGCATGAGCTCGCCCATGATTGCGTCCATCTTTCCTGCATGAACGCAACCGCAATCTCGGCCATCTCCCCCGATCGCGCCCTTAACAAGGCAAGCACTGACAAACCCTAGTGCTCAGCTACCCAAGGGGGATCTGAAAAATAAGGCATGGCAACCACTTCTTGTGCAGAATGCAGTTAGCTCCTGGCTGGGTCTGGACAAAACTTATACATGGTACACTAACCCTTAACTGATAACTGAAAAAATGAAACTGAAACTGTGAACACTATTTGTTCCACTTAAAAATGCAAAAACATCTGTGCTGAATTAGACCAATGGTCCACCTAGTACAGCATTCTGTTCCCACTGTGGTCAACATTTGCCCAAAATCGGGACATGAGTACAATAGCAGCCACCAACCCCAGATTCCAGCCTGTGTCCAGAGCCCCACATACATATTTTAGTATAACTGTTCTAAATCAGATTTTTCTCTACTTGAAATGGAACTGATAAGTAGTGCAGAAAGTGAATAAAGCTGAAGGTCCTACACTTATTTCAACAAAAGAAAAACAAATTGTTGATATAAAGCATATTTTATTTGGTCTCTTTGGGTATATATTCTTTAAAGAGTGATTCAGATATAGGGGGGTTTTTTTGTTAAATACAGCAAGACCCCACATCTGCTGGGTTGTTACTGCGTTTTCTTTTAACCACAGTTGACCTCACTCTGAAAGAGAAGTCATAAAGTGCCAAAGCGAAGTCTTAAAATGCCATAAAGTACCAAAGAAAAGTAGTAAAGTACTTCCTTTAAGTGAAAATTCTTGTTTTAATAGGGAAAGAAAAAAAATCATATGTTGAGATTGCTAAAATGTATGGTAAGAAATTGTGATAAAAGAAATGTATATGTCGAATATATAACAGGGGGTGGCCAAACTTGCTCAATGAAAGGGCCACATTTGATAAATGTCAGATATCTGAGAGCCGCAAGTGGATGCCTGCAGGCAGCATCAGCCAGCGGCAAGCAGGCACCAATGGACGTCCATAGGAATGAGCTGCAAAATAAGCTCAAAGAACCACAAGTGGCTCCTGAACTTCAGTTCGGCTACCCTGGTACAGAGTGTTGGCTATATCTGTGTTTTTAGGCATCCACTGGGGCCCTTAGGACCTCTCCACATGGATATAGGGGTCCTGCTGTATAAGGAAGCGTGTGCTATTGTCATTAAATTTTTACAATATCCATATTAAATACTTTCCCCATAAAGCTTTGAATGTGTTTGCATGTAACTTATAGACTATATTATAGAATTAATTTAATTTCCCTCTAAGCAACTATTTCAGTTCAAAATATTTTCTACAAATATTTTGTACTAGAACAATTTTTGATATATTTATTCAATTGACATGGATTATAGTTTTCGTTCTGTTAACCAAATATGAAATATTTTGTGTGCTTATTGAGGGTGTTTGAGGAGTAAAATTAGCCAAACATGGCTAATTAGATAACAATATTTAGAGCACTGGAAATTTTTCCATAAAATTTTCCAGTTCTATTTTTTCCAGAAAACCCACATCACTGAATAATTGCACTCTTTTTTCCATCTTAAAATCTGCATTTGTGTGCAACTGTGCAGTCTCTGGGCTTCAAAACAAAAAAGAAACCTAAAATGGCAACATGACTCAATACTTCTTCCACAGCTTTAGCATTATTACATGGGCTTGTGCTTTAAACACAAATGCTAAACTGTGACCGTTCACATTTCTACTTCTCCTGAAATTACAGCACCATGCTTTGGTATGTGGTGCTTTACTAAGTTCTATCACCACATATATTGTGCTATATTCATGTGACCACAAAGTAGGAATTGCATGTGAAGAAAAAGGTCCTGCATGGCCTCATAATCAAAAAGGGATCCAGGGCAAACTCTACCCTGTTCTATGCTTTCATGCCCAAAGGGGATTGCTAAGACTTTATATTCAATGGTTAAGCTTTGGTTTAGGTTAAACCATTTTGTGCAATAGACTACAGTATGCTTCTGTAACTTTTATGAATGAAAGGTTAAAAGGGAGACAAAGCCAGGTGTTTATCTTGAACAAAAATGTTCTAGATAAAAATCCTACACACATTATAACATAGGTCAATCTATTGGTTGGGAGGAAACCTGCCCTTCAGACTTCCTTCCAGTCAAATATATTGCATGCAAAATCTTTATGCTTTATTTAAAATTCATTTTTAGAAATTTAACCCCCAAAACAACACATATCAAGAAAGACCCAAGCCAGAAACTCATGAATTCCTCTTTGTTCTCCATTTATGTGTAGATATGCTGAAATTCAATCACAGTTCCATCTATGAGTAACTTATCTGGGCAAGCCCATTTCATTTCCAAACTGAAAGGTACACGATCATGTGAGTTCAGCTTTAGAAAAAATTCTAAACTTATACAACATCTGAATTGAAGATTCTTCAATCAACACAGAAAGTGGGAATTAGATCCAGCAGGAGATTCTCTGCTAACAAAAGATCTTATACATGACAATTTAAGATGATCTTAATGGCTGATTCTGTTTTAATACCACTTTGTCCTCATTTGAGAAAGAGTAGAATTTATTTACTAAACTGAAGATGAAACATTTACTTCTATCAGTAATTTAATTCCTGAAAGATAAGCCAGAACCATCATAACCTTGAGATTTTTTTTTAACAGCCAGGGGCATATTCCAAGATCGAGGTCAAGAGAGAGGCGCTAGCCAAATCCTCAAAGCAAATACTTAGATCTTTCTGGATTCAAATATACCAGCTGGTTCTCATCCAGCCTCAGGGTCTCTCAAGCTTGGTGTTATCTGTCAGATAGTCATATCTGCAGTATAAGAGAGATATTCATAAAGCTGCATGTCATCTGTATAATATGGGCATTGCAATTGATATTATCCCACTATGTCCCTTCAGGGGATATATGTAAATAATAAAAACATGACAAGAAAAAATGCTGAAGGATTAAACCTATCTGAACTTCCCAAAGAGAATACTGTTTTCCATCTTCACGTACAACCGATTGCAAAGGAATTAACAAAACCAAATCAGTGAAATTATGTTCAATATTAGTAGACCACAAATGCCATTGTAACATCAGGAACTGTTATTATGATATTTACACTCACCTCAGAGCTATTAGTCTGCCTAACAACCAAGGAAAGCTACAAATACCACCACACTTGAAACCCCAAAGCAGATACAAGAATGTACAAGTATCAACATATACAGTTACTATCTATAAACACAACCAGGTGTCAGCACAAGACTTAGGAAAATAGGAACATATTATCCAAAGTTTTGAGCAAAGCACAACAATCTCATTATGCAAGCATTCACCCATCTCTAGTCCACCAATAACAAGGCCAGAAAGATGAACCACAACTAGAACAGGGATGAAGAAAAAAGGAAAAGCAGCAGTTGAGGCAAAAGCATAGATCAGGCAATAGACAACAACAGAGTTCACATAAAGCAAAGAAGATGGACAGACTTGGTGCAGAACGAAAGGTGGGGTGTTATTAACCCACCCATTCAACTGTAATCCAACTTCATAATCAGATTCCCTACATGTTCCCACCATCTCACTGATATTTAAGCATTGCTTTCACTTCTGAAGGCAAAACTACCTTGACTTCATTCCATATGAAGCTATCCGACTATACAAACTTAAATAGTATCAGACTGATCTATCTCTCAATATGAAATACATTAATCTAAAAGAAGCAACCATTTAAAATACCTGTAGAGCATAAGTACAGAACTACAGGACTGAAGGGCAAATTCAGTCCTTCAGAAGTCCAAAACTAGCCTTATCCCAACCACTGATATTTTGGTGATTTCTCACAAGTAAATACAGCAATAACAAGTAAATACTACTGCAACCTCTCTGTTCATTTTTTTCTAAACCAATTTCTTGATTTTAAGGACAGACTATAATATTTCATAAGCTAATACCAAATAGGGATATCACACAGAAAGTTCAGTAAGTGGCTTGGAAGCAGCTATATAAAAACCGTATATATATTTATTGCATGTGAAAAATTAAGCCTCAGTCTTCTTGAAGATGATGCATATCCATTTATCACTCAACAAGATGCCTTCCCTTGATGTAAAAACATAATTTCTCAACAGATTATCAAAAATATGTCAAAACTTAACCTGAGGAAAGACAACCTGTATCTTCTATTGTGTAAAAGAAAAACCTCATCATTTATCTTATATGGACCTTGAAGAAGAAGCCCAAAGATCAAATCTCTCCAGAAAGCTTTGGGGATTTTTTTCAAAACCACAAAAACAAAAGCTCAACTGGAATGTAAACAGGAAATTAGGAAAGGTACAACTATGTCCAAGAGAACACCAATATGAATATACTCTTGCAGAAAGTGGAACTCTTACCCAAACAAATAGAAAAAATGTAACAACTTTTATCAAAAGAAATGTACGTAGCGAAAAAAGTGAAAGACAGTATGAAATAGTTTGCAAGGAATATTAGGATCATCTGAATAATTAGCCAGAAAAACTGGCTAGGGATGTAAATGGACTGCTAGAAGACAAAGGAGACAGAAGTGTTCTAAAAGAAAGCAAGGGCACTGCAAAACTTGCATGTGTTCCCTGCACCTGTCTTCACTGTAGAAGATACCTAGACACAAACTGAATTTTTCATGAAAGGCACCTAAAAACCTGGAAAAAAATAGTCATCACAAGAAATCAAGTAGACAAGTCTTAGTAGATCGTGTTCTGAGCATTTATTGGCTTATTAAACACTGAAAATAATCAGCAGGTCAGATGGTATGCACCTGAAAGTTCTTAAAAAAAAAAAAAAACTTAAGTAGTGACCATGAAACAGAAGGTGCCTCAGCTACTTTAACAGAAAAGAGCTGAACTCTGCTAAAGAAGATGAATGGTTGCAAAGACATCAAGCAAAGTTTTTTAACTTGCTAGAATTAGTGTGTCAACAGTATGTAGTAGCTTTGTTTTTTCAAAAATGTAAACAATGTAAAGGGTGTACATGCTACTGTCTTTACATTTTGTAAGTGTTATGTTAATATTTCTACATAATGTAACATTTACATCACATTAAGTGTCCTCAATTTTTTTCCTCAAACATTTCAGGTCAAATACTTGATATATTCTGGGCCACAAATTAACATGCGTTATTTCTTTAAAATGTTCTTGTTTACTAAATACAAGTAAAATTAACTTTCTAAATTGGATCTTTACAGAGAATTTTCCAATGCTGGCCAAATTTTTTCATATGCAAATGACCCTATGCAATTTAATCTAATTTGCATTGGAACCTTTTCAAATTAAACATTTCCCAGAAAACTGACATCTACTATCACAGTCCAGAAAAGATGTGATTGGAAGAGTAGCACTCAATAAACACCAGAGCAAAGGAAATATTTTGCTTCTTTACGTCACTGCTGGACATTCGTGTTTTAAATGTATATGCCACTGCCTCATCACAGCAAACATCAAGCTATAAATTACACCCACATTATCATTTTTGAAGGCTTGTCTGCATTCAAAGACCAAAACAAGTTAATTGGTTTACCTCTTTTCATATGAATGTGAACGAAACTGGAGATCTCGAGAACGCGATCTTGACTTCCTTCTTGATTTCTTACGACTGTAACTTCTACTATCAGAGGAACTGCTTGAAGATGACCTCCTTCGAGGTTTCTTTTTTCTTCTGCTTCTGTTCTCTTCTTCAGTGTCTGATGAACGGCGACCCATTTTAACAAGCTGTTTTTTAAAAAGGCAAAAACACTGTCAAAATCAAGTACAATTGTATCAACAGATAGTTGTACTATAACTGTCCATGTGCTAGTCTTCAATTTAGACCTAAATCAGTTAATGATTTCCTGTTATCTGCATACTAGCATTAGGTAACTAATTACTTGAAAATGTAATTGTGCACACTTTTCCTACTTGTGAACGAGACCAAATTCATACATGTTTTCCTTTTGTTCCTCAAAAATTACTTCAAATATTTTCTTATTACATTACAGTGTGGCATATCGGTTAGACTGCTAGGCCAGGACTTTTAAGATCCAAGTTCTAGTCTACATTCAACCACGAAGTTCACTAGCTGGGCAAGTCATACTAAGCCTAAGCTACCTTACAGAGATACTATTGTAAGGAATAAACAGAGAAGAGGAGAACCTTGTAAGCCACCTTAGGCACTTTGCATGAGAAAGAAGGCAGGGTACATAAGTAATATAATAAATGCAAATTACCTTTCTAGTTGTTTGGAACTTAGACTGCAATTCTATACACACATAAGAGCAAATCCCATCCAATTCAACAAGACTTACTAGACATGAACAGGATTGAACTTTTAAACCATAAATTATTTATACAACATTCTATTCAAGGGTGGGCATGAGCATATTCATTCAATGTGTAAGAAGCTGCACCCCACAGGTTTTCTTCAAGCACATCATGTTACAAACACTGTACACAAAGAATGCAGGAATACAGGCCCTTAAGTGGAATATAATAAATGGATCAAACATATCATGATAAAACTGACAAAAGCTTTCCTAGGCCAGGACCTACACTTCTTTGTTAGACAATATATCTGTATCTGACATAGACACAGGAGAATCATGGGGAAGCTGAAAAAGAACTTGCAGAATGAAGAAAAGGATCCTGTTCTCTACACAGAAAAATGTTTGCAAAAGTAAGTACCACTCATATTGCAGTCCTATTGCTAGGATTCAGTCACACAGAACATAATAGGACTTAATCTCTTATGGGACACCAAAGTAAACATGCATGGGAGTTATGTACATCTCACCCACTTCTAATAGAAGTAGCTAAAGTGGGTACAAAACACATACACAGGATTACACTATTATAATACTGTAAAATAGACTGAACAAAAATATTCCCACAAGAGCACATGAAATAAGGGTTATCTTGGAACTAAATATTTTGCTACCTAATTCCAAAATAATTATCTTAATATTACATACACAGACACTTTCCAGTATCTCTTGATCCAGTCTACTATCTCCTTTATCCTGCTCATCTCTGTGTAGCAACTGGGTTTTAGGGAAAGCTTTCAATGGCACCAATTAGAGCTCTTTTGCCATGTTGGAAGAAGGTAAGGAAATGGATAGGTACATGTGGAGATGAGAGTATGTGAGTGAATGAAGCCACCCCACCAATGGCATATGGCCTCCAGATTATTTCTGAGGAAATGTAGCCCTTGGGAGGATAAGGGGTTTCCAACCCTACATTTGAATCATTGTTTAGCACAATGGAAATGAAACCTGTGACCCTTAAGTCTGCACACTACCCACCAGCTCAACTGCAAGGAGAAGTTTGGAAGCATTTGCTTCTGAATTTAAATTGAGTATAGTTATTGTTACGTCTGAACCAGGAAAATTGTAGCTAGCTTTAACTATAGTGTATCCCAATGAGACTTCAAACTCTGGTCAAGTTTGTTTAGATAAACCATAATTAACATTAATCAAAATTCCTCTTTTATGACTGTTTATGGTGACAGTACAGGGTGTATCAGGCTACCAAACCTGTTTCCAACTAGTTGTTTAATATAACTTTAAAGTTAATAACTGGTACCTGAACTTTCCTCACTACCAGCTTCTGGTATCCAGTATTCTCAATGACCACTTCTCTTTTATGTGTCTTGTTTTTCAGACCATAGGCCTCAGGGCATGGACTGTCTGACAGCTAATCTTTTGTTAGTCACTCAAATAATTTTTTTAGCTAATGCATGGGGTAAAACTGCTTTAAATAAATATTCATTTATTTTCAAGAGAGATCAGAATGAACATTATAAAAACATGGAGAGGCATTAAAAACTAGAACAGGATACAAAACCCGATTAACTACTTCTTGGGTCCCTTCACAGTGCTTATACATAGGACTTGTGACAATTTCTCTTTGTTCAGGCAGTAAACCACTTATATATACTGACTTGGGGAAGAACCACTGAATTCAACTTAAGATACTCCTAAGTGAATACATACAGGATTGTGTTGTCCAAGAACAGCACAAGGGCTTGGTTGAATAATAAAAAGTAAGGCCTGCACTGCTGTTTGCCTCTTCCTTACAATGCTCCCTGACTCACTACATAAAAAAGGGTTGAATATGAACAGGCACTATCTCAGACCTTAGATCTGAACCATGCCAGTCCAAACCATTTGCCACCACCAAAGCCAGCCCAAGACACTGATTCTGAGGCAAAACAGCAAATGTTTGCCTAACCCAAGATAAGGTGCAAAGTACCCAAAGCCAACAAAGTTATTTTGACATATAAAACAGAAAACTCACAAGCAGCTTGCCATATGATTGGAAATAAAAAAAACAAAAAAACAAAAAACAAAAAAAAACCAACTGCCTCATTCTGCTTACTCATAGGGCCAGGCCTCTTGCAAAACAGCGGGAGACAAATGATCACCCAAGCGATAGCTAACAAATATGCTAACTAACAAGCAAAGCTGGGAGATTGGGATATAATACAACTTTTGCATGGAAAACGACCTGCTGAGCAAACTGTGTAAGTACAGCATAGGAGAGTATTCTCCCTCCCTCAGAGAAAACACCCACTTCGGGGTTTTACAAGTCTTTAGATGTTTCAGGGTTAAATTTGCCATACTGTAAAAGCAAGCAAAAGAACACACAAGATCTTTTAAAACAGGACTGACACCAAGAGCAAGCATGATTGGCTACCTGCCAGGCAAGTCCTACCCCAGCAGGGTTCTACTTAAGAGAAAAACTGAAAATGTTTCACCTCTTCATCATTGTAAGTAGATGAATTGCTGTGCACTGCTCAGAGAACTTTTGCAGTGAGATAGTACAGAAATGAAATGAATAATGAAAAACATCACTGCAGTCTGCCATTTATTTATTTATTTGATCTATATCCCACCCCATTAGCCAGAAAGGCTCTTTGGGCAGTCTCTGGCTGTCAAGCAAGGAAGCAAACAGCAGTAATAAAGGAGAGAGACAAACTGTAATAGTCGCCTTTGGTGGCTATGGCGGTAAGAAAGTAGAATTACCAGGGGAGGGGTTTCACTGATGATGTCAGCCCAAAGGTCCTCGAAACTTAAAGCCCACACTTCTTTGGAAGTTGCGTAGAGAAGGAATTCTCGCTAGAGGCGAGTTTTCCCCTCCCTTCATCCCTGAGGGGCAAAAGAAACGACACAATTCTCTTTTGGGCAGCAGTGCCCAGCGACTGTACCAGTCCAACAACTCTAAGGAAAGAGACCTCAAGAGAGACCAGGGATTCCTCGTTAGAGATAAGAGAAGCAGTGAGTCACTAACGCGGGCCGCGGAGACATATAACCGCTACAGAGGCCCAAACCACGGGGAAGGATTTTCCACGCTTCCTTCAAACGCAGGCAATGCTGGTGAACACGGGCAAGGCGTGAGGGTCGCCCTCCCTTCACAGAAACCCACGGTGCCAAGAAGCGCGGGTCCCCTGCATAGCAAAGAGGCCACTGAGGGAAAGCTCCCGGGCCTGGTTCAATCCCACGCCGTCCTCGTCGTCAGTCATAGGCCCCACCCGAGCCCCCTGGCTGTTGATTCTCGGCCCAGCGAGCACCGGGACACGGGCAGCCGCGGCAACCCCGAGCCTCCGCCGCGAGATCATTTACCTCCAGACGCCTCGAGCCCGCCAAGGGCCGCCGAGCTTCCGTAGTTTGAGCTCAGCGCCTTCCTCCTCCTGAACGCTGGCCAGACCTTACTAAACGATCCTGAAGCTCATCCAGTGGCGCAGCCAGGCAATAGAGTACCGAAGCCATCGATTGGAAGGCCAGCCTTACTCGGTTCTCGCTCCGTGTTCTCGCTGTTTCCTGGTGTACAGTCTCGTCCTTTCCCCCTTTTTAAACCATTACGGGCAGTACAAACAACAAGCAAATGTAATCAGTAGTTCTTGCAGGGTTCTTTTCTGTTTTATATAATACAAGCACGAATGATGCCATTCGTGCCCTTTCTTTATTCCTTCCCCCTTTATTACCCACCCGAAAAAATAAACAAACCCGAATAAATCACAGAGTTCTGTCTGTATAAGGTGCGCTGTGATTAAAATTGCAATGATTTATCTGCAAATTGCTTTTAAAACGCTGCAATTTTCTTTCCCTAGAAATGATGGGCTTTCTGAGGTTCGGTGCAAATTAGTTTCCCAGTTGAGACTATTTAGGGTTTTGATTGTTGAGGGAGGAGGGGAGGTTTGAAGCCCTGTTGAAGGAGGTAAGAACAAAATTTATCGTTTTTCATTTAAGTCCAGAGTAATTAAAGAAGCTCACTCTTTCGAGGAATTCTTGCTACATTGACATTTTCCCTCTATTTCTGTCTGAGAAAATAATTTCCTATCTTTGCTGTAAAGACGAGGCGCTTTTGTCTGACGGGGTAAAGTCGCTGCGGTTTGCTTTAGGTGATGCGTCAGGAAGAATGGTCTATGTCTTTAAATTGCCCGGTGCCACAGGAATGCTTTGATTCATAGGAACCTGAAATATTATTCAATAGGGCAATGATTTTGTTTTTTCGAGGAGTGATCAGACTCTGGTCCCACAAGCAAATGTCATTCATGTTAGTATTTCTGACATGCTTAAATTTAATGCCTCCAGATACAAAGAAAGTTTGTAAAATCCATTACCAGACTTCAACAGCAATCCCAGGCATAATTGCCTTTACACTCTGCTCGATGCGCCGTGTGGTGTGCATTAATATGAGAACAACCCTACTGTTTGTACCAGTAGTTAATAGTGAGACCGTAATTTCTTGAACCTCATGCCTGTATTTGACCAGAATGGAGGGGAAACATTTGCTTTTCAATAACAGTTGAAACTAGTAGCTAGTTATAAATATACTAAAATAATATATCTAATTCAGGTGTATGCCAAATAGGTTGCAACTCTATGCAGACTTTCCCAAAACTGCACTTTCCCTCAGACACAGTGGGAATAATGTTCTAAGTAACAGGAGTAATGCTGGAAACACACAAAGAACATTAATATGTGTGTTTATGCTGAGAAAAAAGAAACCATTTCCTTCTATCCTCTAAACGAATTGCATAGGTAACATTCACATTACCTCGAACTTTGTATATACATATTTAAAAATACTGATTTCTCTTAGGTATATAGATGGAAGCCTCAAATGAAACTGCAGGAGAGAGGAGGGTTCTAAGAATCGTGAATAAAACTGAGTTATACAATTTAAAGAGAGACCCAATAAAATTCCTGATTAGTGTCTCCAGCTTTAAAGATTTCATTGAACTCAGAGGGGCTTATTCCTAAATTATACCTTTAGGATCCTGCTATTAAGACTTTTGTTTGCTATTTACTTTGTCAATTCTGTGAGTTTCTTTTTCCTGTACAGTAGTAAGTCATTTCTTCCCCATCAACAAAGCACAATAAGGATAATTCTGTCGTTTGCCTGGAGTCCAATGCTTTAGTGTTTCACTGTGTTAAATCTGAATACTAACCAGCTTAATTTGAGAGACATACTATATTTGTCTACAGATTATTTCGAAAGTTCATTTTTGCATTTTGTCTTTAATACTAAAGTTCATATACTATAACTCCACACAGCAATAACACGATTTTTTCTGTAAAATCTTGGGGAAGATGTGCTTGTTTCTTTTCAAATCAATACCTAAGCCAGGGTTAAACAGCTCTGAATCATTCTGTCCAAGGTGTAGACTTAGGATCCTAATTAATTTGTCAGTTTTAAACACCCGAACATAATGAGATTAAATGGGGAAGAAAGGAAAGTACTTAGTAATAAATATTCTAAATCAAAGCTGAACTTATACCCTCATTTACCAAGTGATAAAATGTAAAAACAAGGTAATTTTTAAGGACAGTGTGTAGTATGACCATAATCATGTTTATTCTGAATAAGTCTCACTCAGTTCCTCAAGATTTCTTTCCCAGAAACCGCACTTAAAATTGTAAGTACAGCCCAGGCTTTTGGGGGAAGGGAGGAAGTGCTGTCAAAAGCAGTGGGACAAACTTCTAAATGTACTTTACACTCCTATACATATTTTCTTACAACAGAAGTGTCCAAAGTTCAATGGGACACTTTCAGTTAAATGTGCATGATGTGTCACCCTATGACTAGACTGTTGCTCAATCTGTGGAAAAGAAGCTATTCAGATTTTGTACCAACACATTGAGGATTGTCCCTGTATAGATCCAGAAAATCTGACATATCTTTCCAGTCTTGGATATTTGGGTGTCTAATTCATTTTCACTAAAGTCATTGAATTCTTAAGTACAAAGACAGAGAAACAGCGTCTGGAATTCTTTACTAGAAAGCCCCATAGAAGAAAGCAACAGAGCAGTGGAAACGTGGAAAGGCCCAGCAGCTTTAGCGCACAATTTCCCTGGATTTGGAGAGGGGTCCCTAGTGCACCGGCAGGTAGGAGTTATCAAAGAAACTGGTCAACCCTAGGCAAAATTACTCGGAAGAAAGTTCAACTGAATTCAGTGCAAGTGACAGAGAGGGGGTGGGGTGGGGGTGGGGGTGGGGGTGGGGGCAGTCCCCGGGAAACAAGCGCACGCATTTTTAGGAACCGTGGGATGGAGTTCCCCCTTTCCCCCCCTGCCGCGACTCCGAGTGACTCTGAACTATTCAGAGCAGGCTGCGCTCCCAGTCGGCACCCGGGCAGGAAGGCTGATCCGTTCCGTTCAACGGCCCTCGCCGTCCGCGCCGGTGGGGCAGCGCCTGAGCAGAGCAAGCCCCCCTCGCCCGTTCCCTGCCCTCGAAGGCCCGTGGATGTGGCGGCTTTTGTTCGGCGGGCCGATCGGAGGGAGCGCCGGCCTCCGCGGCCGCCGGGTTCCCGGGGACGGCGCGGGCTCCGCGGCAGCGCCCTCGCAGCCAGTCCCGAGTGCGGGCAAATGAGGCGTTTGGAGGCAGCGCTCTCCTCCCCTGCAAGCGCGCTGCCGCCTTGTCATTTTCGTTTTAGCCCCTCCCCTGCAGATCCGGCCCCCTCCCCCCATGTTTAACTAACTCAGGACACTAGCGCAAGATCCACGCCTAATTAAATTAATTAGGGATTCTTGTCAATCCTGGATTAATGGCCGAGAGAACCCCCTGGCCGCTGGATCTGGAAGAAGGGGGGTGGGTGGGCTGGAAGCAGGAGGACTCTTCTCCCCCCCCCTTTCCCCTCCTCCTCCTCCTCCTCTCCCAGTTTGGCTCCTTTTCTCCTTGGTGGTGCTGCTGGACTGCTCCAGGAGAAGGGGGCTCATTCACAGTTCCAAGGGGAGGTAATTTGCTCCGAACAAGGGGCAGGCTTCGCAAAGTATAAATAGTGGGGACTTCAATAGCGAGAGCCCTATCAGATCTGAACTCTTAGCGGGGAGAATTGTCAAAGATCTTCACGTTTAACAAGCGCGCTCCAGTTGGGAAACATCAGCTCCCATTTAACTCTCCAGCCCCTCTGCGGCTTCTCCCTCCCTCCCGCCTTTCCTCCCCCCTACCCACACCCTCCCCCCTTTTTTCCTCCTACCCCTCCTCTTCCTCCTCCCTACCCCCTTGATGTGTTTATTGGGGGGCTTGGAAGAGCCAGAGGAGGCGAGCGAGGGGGAGAAAAAAAAGAGCCCAGAGAAACGCCGGCGATGGAAGAACTTACCGCTTTTGTTTCCAAGTCGTTTGATCAGAAAGTGAAAGAGAAAAAGGAGCTCATCACGTACAGGGAGGTGCTGGAGAGCGGACCTGTCAGGGCGGCCAAGGAGTCCGGGAGCTCCAGCGAGCCCGGGCGGGAGGAGAGCAACAGCCCGGCGGCCCGGGGGCCTGGAGGCGGCGGCGGCGGCGGAGGCGGCGGCGGAGGCGGCGGCGGCGGCGGCCGATCGCCGGTCCGAGAGCTGGCCATGGGCGCCGTGGACAGGACCAGGGACGCGGGCACCCCCAAACTCAGCGAAGGTAACGCGCCCGCCTCGGGGAGCGGCGGCGGCTGGAGGGGCAGCGCCCTGGGGCGGCGGGCGGGCGGGCGGGGGGGGGCGCGGCGCCTTTGCTCCGCGCCACGGCGAAAACACGCCGCGCCGGCAGGAGGAAACTTGCCGGAGAATGAATGGAGGCGCGGCGGGCAGCGGGGCTCCCGCGGCTGGATGCGGCGGCCGAGCTTCCCCACTCGGGGAAGAGGGACAGCCCAAGGGAAAGGAGGACGTCGGTCTGCCTGCCTCCGGCCGTGCCAAAGAGTTTCCCAAATAAGAAAGGCGCGGTACCGTCCAGATCGCCGGCGATTATCTGAGCAGCTCTGACACGTATTTTAGGGACAGGATCCGGGGGGTTGGGGAGGGTGGGTGGGTCCCTTCCCTCGCCCTGGCGGAGATAAGGCACTGGCCCCGTTGGGTAGGCAAGGCGTGCGCCGCTTTCTCGCTCTCTCCCTGGATATTTCCCCTCGTGCAAACAAGATTGACATAGTCAGGGCAAGGATTTGCGTTTGGCTGCTCTGGAAACGACAGGTTTTTTGGATGCGGAACAATGCGTTCCAAGGTCTGTCTGTCTTTCCCGTAAGTACTGTTCCTGGGGTGGATCCTGGTCCGATCTACATCCGTTAACTTGTGTTGACTTTTTCTCCACCAGTTATTCCAAAACAATATGTAATTCCGAGATCTATCTATCAGAAAATTTAATGCAGATAATTAATTTCCCTCTACCACGTGATCTCTCCCCATTTACAATGTAAATAGAGGATGATTTTATACTGGTAAGAAATTAGAAATTAAATAGCGATCTATGTTTAAGGCAGCTTGAAAATCTCTTAAATATTATGCAAAGTTTGAAAAGTAGCGCCCGCTATTTATGAATGGAAATATCAACTATTGTGCTCACTAAAAGTAGGAAGATTATCTTTTACATTTTTTCAATTGCGTTTAGATAACTTACAATAACTTATATCTTCAGCATCTTAGCAGCACTGAAGCTTTGCGATACATCGATTTTTTTAAAGCGACATAAGGCATTCTTACAAATGTTAGTGGCATATCTAAAAGCCCTTCTGAAATCAAAACAAGGTGTTGCTGCTTTAGAACTCGATTTTCTTATACTCTAAGATTTGTGTTTCCGTTGAGGTGTAGCAAGGAGATGAAAAAGGGAAGAAACTGGAGGTAGGGAAGATAAATACGTGAAAAAGGCTCTGCGAAATCTCTTGTCTTATTTGCTTATCCAAAGAGCCCCGTGCCTTTCCACTATTATATTTGAATATCTGAGTGTGGGTTGAGATGCGGATGCCCTATTCCCGTGGCGGGGGAAGATTGCAGCTCTTTTGTTCAAAGAAAGTAGCGCTCTCCAACTCCCCACCATACAGAAAAATCATCCGGAAAGGCTTTTATAAACAAATCCAGCCTATGATTAAAGAGAAAGGCAATGGCCATAAACAAACTTCGGCGTGGCCATGAGCAAATATATTTGGGGAAAGGAAAGGGGGGGGGGTCCCGGTAGGAAGATTAGGAAACCCCCGCGGTGTGAACGAACGGCGTCACTCCGCCACGTTTACACGTCGCGAGGCAAACCGGGGCCTGGTATCTGAGGTTAGGCGTGTGTGTTGGGAACGGGAGGGTGAGACTTGGATGGTCCTTGCTGGAGGTGGAGCGATTCAGGCCGGCACAGTCCCAGCAATAACCGACGGACAGGCCCCTTATCGGGGGAATATAGGCTGCGGGGTCTCTGCCTCGGCGGGTCTGCAGCAGCCATTTCGGCAGGGAGCGGCGAAGTAACGGGTGGAAGTGTCCCACTCGTGCGTCCACAAAACAGGTGAACCCCCGTTGCAAAAAGGGGTTCAGGATCGGTCGTTCGGATACTCCCACCGCTGCCAGAGCCGTCTGCGCCTCCTACCACGTAATTCGATGCCCGTGTACTACTCGGAAGCAAGCCCCGCTGTGCCCAGTGGGACCGGCTTCTGGTAACCGTGCTAGGATTGCAGCCTTGGCGCATGAGGTCAAGAGATTTCCCCCTCCCCACAACTAGGGACAGGCCGGTGCCCATCGCTCCTGTCGACCCCCCCCCCGCACCTGCTGCTGTGATCCCGGAAAGGTCCGAGCTGAAGGCCGAGGGGGTCGCGCAGCCCCTGGCGTGAATGTCAGGGCGAAGTGGAAGGGGGCAGCCGCTGCAGGCTCCCCCCACTTTCTGCGTGCCGTTTCGTCAAAGCGTTTACAAGCGGGGAGGACTTGGGCTGCGCCCCATCTCCAAGGAACGGGTAGAGCCTTCCCATCCTGGGGGGAGGCCGGCAGAAGGGGGTCCCAAGGTCAGGACGCCCCCCCACCCACCACCATGAGATGACCCTGAATTACTTAGGGCACCTCTGCTGCTTTCAACTGCACCCCTCCCCCCCCCGAAAAGCAAACACAGGTGGAGCAAACGCTGCTTTGAGAGCCCTTTTCTCCTAAATCAAACGACTGCGGTCAAAGCCAAAGCGCCAGCCTCTGGCCGGAAGGAGAGGCGACCCTGCGCAGCTTTAGCTGAGGTGTTGGAGATTAAAACTTAAAGAAATGACAGACGCGGCCTTTTCTGAGAAGTACTTGGGGACTATGGCCAGAGAGAGCCAACCAGTGTCAACGGACCCGCTTCGGATCAAGCGGGCGGGCCAGCTCTGAAACTGCAGCACCCTCCGAATCAGGTTTATCAGTTAGACTGAGCAAGATGTTGGACCCTCTGAAAATCAGGGTGCATTCTTGGGGAAATAAACAGAAAAAGGAAGAGCAAGGCAATTCCGCGGGCTTCCAGATGACGGACTCGGGTTTCGGGTCCAGTTGTGGGGGTCGCATCCAAAGTTAGTCCAAGTAGTGATTCGCATCTTTTCAGCTGCTCTGCGCCAGGCAGGGCTGCCCTCGCATGCCATCCTGGAACTCAGCGGGACGGGGCTTGCTCCTGAGTAAGCATGCCTGGGATCGCGCCCCCCGCCACGATCCCGCGCGTGTTTCTTCAGAAGGAAGCCTCGCGGCGTCCAGGGGGGCTTCCGCCCTAGTCGGCGCGCTTCGGGTCGGATCTGGAGTTCACCTGGAATCCGCGGGCCTCGCTTGAACCTTGGGTGCCGGGCCGGCGCAACCCAAGGACGCCCGGCTGCCCGCCTCGGCTCGGGTGGCGCAAGCGTGCGGGCGCTGCAGGCGGGCCTCCAGCCGCGCCCGGCAGCGCCGTCCCTCGGCCCCGCCGCTGCCGGGAGGGTGACCTTTGCGCGCCATCGATCCGGGCCCCCTCCGCGCCCGCCCGCCCCGACTTAAGGGACGCGCAGGCGGGAGCCCCGGAGCAGACGCCGGCCCAGGGCGACGCGAGGCGCCCGCGCCCGGCCTGGCCCTGGCCCTGGCCCGCGGCGCCTGACTCTGCCCTCTCCTTGTCCAGTTTCCCCAGACCTGAAAGAGCGCAAAGAAGATGCCAAAGTGATGGAAGACGAAGGGCAGACGAAGATCAAGCAGCGGAGGAGCCGCACCAACTTCACGCTGGAGCAGCTGAACGAGCTGGAGCGCCTCTTCGACGAGACCCACTACCCGGACGCGTTCATGAGGGAAGAGCTCAGCCAGCGGCTGGGGCTGTCCGAGGCCCGGGTGCAGGTGCGCAAGGCTCCGCCGGCGGGGGGGGGGGGGGCGAGGCGGGGGCGAGGCGGCCGCGGGCGCAAGCCCGCCCGGCCCCCCGCCCCGGGGAGCGGACGCGCCCGGCCCCTTCCGGAGCCATTCCTCGGAGCGCGGAGCGCGGACGCCTTGGGCGTCAGTCGCGGAGGAGCTGCCTCCTGGCCAGCAGGCGCGTCCCAGAAGGGGCAATGCCCTCTCGGCTGCGCTGGGCGTGCGGACATGCGGATCCGACCGAGACCGTCCTCCTGGAAGCCTCCTCTTGCGAAACAAGTGGCAATGAAAGATGGGGCGGGGGGGGGTCGACTCTTAGTCGGAAGTAAACGATTTCTGAAACGCTTGCACTCTTTTGACCTGATCCTAAATGTGTTTTAGTAGGAGGCAGGGTAAGTTACTTCTTGGTTGTTTTGCTGTCAGTTGTTGTCCGAACAAGTTGTGCATAGTTTGTTTCAATAGATTCCCCCATGACCAGCCATGTCTACTGCATGCTCAGTTTCTTCTGGTTCTCCACTTTTCTTGTATCTGTCATCATTATCAATCAAGGTCTCTTATATTTTATATTGCAATGATCTCCGGTTGGAACAGTGGGGAAAAAACAAGCTGAGGGAAGCTGTCCTATTATTTTACATTGCATTTATACCCACTCTTGGTGGCTTATAAGGTTGTCCTCCTCCTCTCCATTTTATCCTCACAACTACAATCCTGTGAGGGAAGTCTGGCTGGCCCAAAGTCACCCAGTGGGCTTCGTGGGTGAGTGGGGACTCGAACCTGCATCTCCCAGGTCCCAGTCCAACACCCTAACCACTCTGTCACAGTGGTTAAACTGAATGGTACTGAAAATCTGTGTATAAATGTGTCTGGCCATTCTTTGCTATGATCCAGTTTCTACATTTTTGGCTTCTTCATGTTTCTAGTAAAGTTTTTTTCCATATATAAATATCACACGCATGGGTTAGTACTGTAGAATGTATGTCTACAGTTCAGCATGTCTCTTTTTAAAGCATTGATCCAAGCTCAGTTAAAGAGAGAGAGAATATAGACAGATGGATGTATGAATTAACTTTATAGAGAGGCTAACTAATAAACGAAATTGGGAGTTCCTAAAGTGTACACATTTACAGTCCATTTTCTCCTCTAAAAGGGGAAGTAATTAAAAAGATCTCAAGGGAACAGAGAAAGGCAAGGCGAAGGCACAGATACATGGAGCCCGGCTTGGCTAGAGCAGTTGGATTTCAAGGGAGAACATCTCCCCCACCCCCTCTGCACATTCCAGATATATCTAGGGATCTTTCAGGCTTCAATTCCAAAGGCTTGTCAAGGTGGCCGTCAGCTGAACAGCTCTGTCCTCTGCCTCTGGAGTTTCACCTAAGGGAAGCAAAGAGGAGGGGAGAGAGAGAGAGAGAGAGAATTTTATCCAGAAAGAAGCCCGCTAGCCAGAGGCCAGGCCGCTTGGCAAATGTATCCCAGCGCTGTTTCTGTGGAAAAGGGGGCCTTCTTTGTGTGAACACATGGAGCAGTTTTAGGCCCCCAAACATCTGCAGCTGCTAGCATAGTCCTTGCTTGTAATAGATACTTCCCCCTCCATCTTTGTGCTCGTTGGCTGCCATCTGCACAAAACAGGGCTCCCGTCCTTACGGGCTTTCTCTGTATCTTGTAATCGGATAAAGGCAGGAACTGAACTGTCACTTTGGCGGGTGGGGGGGAATAAAAAAGAAAAAACCGGAGGGGGGAGCTAGTATATTTGAAAGACACCACAGCTTGGAGAAAAAGAGACCTCCTTTTTACTCCTCTCTGCTTTTCTATTTGTCTCCACCTTTTAAGGCTGGCTACTCAGAGCACACACATGGACGCCTGAACATCACAATACTTAGTTCCTGAACTGGTCTGTGGAAAGAAAGGAGGAAAAATTAAAGGGCGGTGATTCCTATGGAGGGAGGTTTGCTGGCCAAACAAAAGAATAACCAGTGCCCAGTATAATCCATATAGAATAACTTTTAGAGATTTGCATAGATTACACTCTGGCTGCTTTCAACTGGCCCTGCAAAATGCTTCACTTGTGATTTGGTTTTAAACTTTGCTTCCTGGCTCTCGTTGGCAGATGGTGCAAGGAAGCCTGGAAGTCATTCGGGGAAAGCTTGTGGCTAAAACCTGAACCATCTAATCCCTTCCTAACTGCGTTTACTCAAGGAAGTAAATACCATTGATTTTGGTGCAACTTATGCCTGAGTAAGCATGTTTAGGAATGCAGTCTGAACAGCTTGCTTTTCTGCCCGTTTCCTCAGTAAACCTGCACAGCCCTACAGGAATTAATCTGGAAGCAAGACCTATTAGACTGGATGGCACTTGCATGTAGGGAAGACTGCAGCCATGGAACACAACCCCGGCAGGTTTGCTGAGATGTTTGGCTCTCTTTCCTCAAGGGGCTGAGAGGAAAATCTGGCTGGGATTGCAACCTTACTGCAGTTTTTATTTTTAAACAGTAAAAAAGCTCTTGCAATTCCCAGCATTCTCCAGACAGTTTGCTAGCTGGGGAATGCTGGGAGTCGTAGGAATTGTTTTTCTTTCTAAACATGGAAAGGACTATGCCTGCCTGTGGTCTGTGATTCTAATTCACCTCCTTGCAAGTCCCACTGGACACAGCAAGGCTGTTTACACCCCAATCAAGATTCATAGGACTGGGCTACATGTCTATATCGATAGAAAAAAAACCTCTATTGCAATAAATCTCAGTAAGCTTAGGACTGGAGTGAGTAAATGTGGAAAATTATGAGATCTGTGTCTGTAGCTGTTAGTTTGCAGTGCTCACTGTATTAATTTTAAAATAAAATCCCAATTAGAGTTCTATTCTATCAGAGCCTCTCTGTAGAACCTTTGAGATGGAAAACAGGTCTCTCTCCCCTCCCTCCTCCCCTCAAAAACTAAAAATAAAAAAATCAGGGTACTCTAGTTACCTTAAAGAATTTTTAACTCCCACTGATTTCAGTGACAGAAATGTAAAAAGCCACCACTGAAATAAATGAGGTTAACTGCCAGAGCCTTGCTGGTTTATTGGGATGAGAGTCCCTTTGAGGGTAGTGATATCTAGTATCCTAATGAATGCAGTGATGATGACCATGCATAGGATCGGGTCTACCCAAATGTACCCTCTGCAAAAGTTTTAACCACCTTTCTTCAGAGGTGAATGGGCCCAACTTTTGTCACTGCTCTTAAACTTTTCCCCACTTTCAATCGCCAAAGTATCATCTTGCCTGTTGTGCAGCTTGCTTTCTTTTTTCTATGGGAGAAAATTAGATTATCATAATAATGAGACAATTATTCTGCTTCTGTGTTACACTCCACTGCACAGAGGAAAAGAGAATTTCTCAACTTCTTTGTAGTAAAGCTTTTATGACAGTAATTACCCCCCAAAAGTGAGTCATTAAACGCTTTGGTGTTTCGTTTTTCTTGAAGATAAAGCTAATTAATATTACAGGCTTTTAATGAGCACATTCTTCTTGGGTTTTATTGTGCAAACATCTAAATCCCTTTATCACAAGTTTTAGTATTAGATAACACCCAGAGGTTGGTGGGTGGGGGTGCCTTTGGGGGATTGAATCGCAAAAGATGAAACAGGCTAGAGAAAGTAATTGAGCAAGAAGTAGAACAGGCAGCAACTGTCCATCTTCTAGAGAACAGTCCCTGTCTTAAGTCTGGAGCAATTCTAAGTGGAGCTTAAGCTAAGTTTAGACATTTTCTGTCCAGTATAGGTGCCTTCCTTGCAAGTTAGCCCAGTTTTAAATATTCTTGCTGGAATCTATTTCTGACAAAATGAGACAGACAACTGTGTATTCCTACTGAGTTTAAAATAAAAGATAAGACTGCTCTGGAACAAGCTTTTATTTCCATAAATACAGTTAAGGATTGGTATAATCACCAGATTTCCAGTCAGGTCAAAATCTGGAGCAATCAAGCCAAAATTCAGTTCTCCTACCTTCCCTTGATTTCGAATGGAAATTATTAAATTCCTGCAATCCTATATATGTTGGCTCAATAAATAAGTTGCACCCAGGTCAATGGTGCTTACTCTTAACTGAGCATTATTGATAATTGCTTCTAAGTGAGGCTGCAAACTTACTCCAATATATGTTTTTAGTTAAAGTATGACTGATTTCTCAATAAATATGCTTATTCTCAGGAGCATCTATATTTAGGTTTAAAACCTGAAGGGCTACTGAATAGGGAAAGATAGAAAGACTATTGACACAATAATTTTCAAGTAGATTTGTTTTGGACCCAGATTTCTAGAGAGAGATTGAGCACGTTGGGTTGGTATTGTATATGAATATGCACAGAATTACTGCTTCACTTACTAGTGTGTGAGAAGAGAGATTTAGAGTACTAGTTCTAGATGAGCTAAGAACTTGAAATGCGGGAGATGTGTAATCTGAATAACCTGATTACTAGAAACGTCTGAAAACCATAGAATAGTAGTGCTGGAAGGGACCAGAAGGCCAATGGATCGAACCCCATGTTCAGTGCAGGACTCCCAGTTAAACTAAATGAGACTTGTTCTCAAACCAGGAGACTGCGTGCAGCTCAGAAATTAATCTATTGCCGAGCAACTAGAGAATTTGAAAGCCAGTGCACAACACACCCAGCTAATTCTTATTACTAGAAAACTTTGAAAGGGGAACTTTAACACTTTCCCCCCTAGAAACTGGGACTGAGAATTGTACTTTTCTGAGGTACTCTTTGGAGGATTGTCAAAGGGCTGCCACAAGGGGTAGAATCTAATATTAGCCTAAATTAAGTCCCATGCACTCTTAAGGGTCTACTCTACATAGGATTGACCACATACCTACTCCTCCCATGTGGGTTAACAGAAAGTCCTGAAAGTGATAAATTTGTTTCCTCTTAGAAACAGTGGGCATTGGGGGGGGGGGAGAAGTGTCTGTTTGAAATGTTTAATGGGCTTCCAATGCACACAGAAAACCCAAATCTGGGTAGCAGGGCTAGATTATCTGGATGACGAGGTAACTCTGAAAAGCTCATCCCTTTGTAACAATCCTATGCTTGCCTACTCAGAAATAAACCTTACTGAACCTTGTGGGATTTACTCCTAGGCAAACAATGCATAGAATTGTAATCTGAGAATAGAAACTTGGGGCACAAAGTTTATATCCGAACAGAGGCTGCCCTATAGCATGAGGGGTGGTAGGATTTTATGCTGTGGCTGCTGGCTTCTGCAAGCAGCCAGAAAGAAACAAATACCCCTGCTTATGGACAAGTTTCGTTTACTGGTAATATGTATAATGATGGCACTGAGTGTGTATATATAGATGTGGCTTTATACTGAGCTTGTCCCCCCTTTCCTCTGACTGCCTAGGTATGGTTTCAGAACAGAAGAGCTAAATGTAGAAAGCAAGAAAATCAGCTGCATAAAGGTATGTGGAAAATGGAGAACTGTGCATGAAAACATTCCCCTTAAAGTCTAGGCATTTGGGGCTTTATTTTGGTTAGGCCAAAAGCTAAAACTTACAGACTGTTGTCCTGTCTGACTCTGTGATCCTTTGCATGTCACCCTGGAATAAGTCCCATTGAATATAATGCGACTGGCTTCAGAGAAAACATGATGCATTGTAGTGCATTGTAAACAGCTGTGCAAAAGGGATAGTGGGCAAAATAAAACAAAACACAAACACACAATAATGAAGTCTGCCCTGTATTTTTTGCTCCATTTCTATGCTCAGTCTTGCCCTGCAGTTTTGCTCCATTTCTGTTCTAATCCTCACCTGTTCAAATCCTCTTTCAGGGGTCCTTATAGGAGCAGCCAGCCAATTCGAAGCATGCAGAGTTGCTCCCTATGTGAATGTTGGTGCTTTGCGGATGCCTTTCCAGCAGGCAAGTATAATGGCAGTTTCTGGCACCGTTTTTACAATGGCACCAAACTTAGAACAACTTGTTTTGTTTGCTCTGTGAGTGTTTTGGGTGGAACAGACTGTTCTTGCTGTCCCTGAAATACAATCAAGAGCTGTCAGCCCTTTCCTTTGTCCTCTAATGTATTTACAATATACAATATTCTATTTAAAATTACATCCTGATGCCTTCTGGAAGGAGAGGAGTGTATTTTCCCTGAATGTGTAAACAGCCTGATCATTACTATGTCTGTGGTTCAACCTGATCCTATGCATGTTTTCTCAGAAAAAAAGCCTCCACTGTTTTTCAGAGCAGGATTTACCCACCTTGTTAGACCTTGTTAGTATGCTCAGGTTTACCAGTCTTTAAATGGGTGATACTTCTAAATAGGAGCATTTGTTGTTGTGTTAAGGGTTCAAACAACACTTGGAATTAATCTCACTGCCCTCAAAGGAACTGACTTCCAAGAAAGCATGGATATGAATGGGATGGATTCATCCCATTGCAGTTGTAATCCAGTATCCAGAAATAGGGTGAATTTGTTCTTGTGAAGCCTCAGATTTGTGGAAGCGTATCTGCTTTGACTCATAAGAGGACTTACTTTATGTCTAGCAGGGCTTACTTTCATGTACTGTGCTTTAGGGGTCATTTAGAACTGAAGTCAGGTTCTTTATCAATGCAACCTTATGCTCAGGAGAAGGACTCGTAGGTTACATCCAATGTTGGTTCTATTTAGAGTGGACCGACTGAAAGGAGTGGGACTAACACTTGATATAAATTCTTTGTGTTCAGTGGGACTTACTTTCTAGGCAGTGTGTGTAGGATCACAGCCTCGGTGAATCTGATGACTCCTCTATTACGTGTACCAAAGAGCTGAACATGGATCCTGATGGGGGCCTGTTCATCAGTCCATGCAAGCACGGCTGTTTCATGGCTGTGTCTGTGTTTGCTCCTGTGTCATGAGGGTAGGCAAGTTTGTTCAGAAGACAGCCACAAGTCTTTTATGAACTAGCTGCTACATAGCATCCACTGAATAAGATAATTTTTAAAAATCCAGCAATGGCTTTGGAGATAAGCATCTCACACTGCAAAGGAGGGAGTGGTGAGTCTTACAGCCTGGACTCAAAAATTTTGGCCACAGCAGAGCTCAGGGGATCCTCTTATGCCCATTTGTTTCAATAGACTTAATTCTTAATTCTGTCCCTGAATTATGGCCACTGTGTAGAAGCAATTTCAGTTTATTTCAGTGAGACTTCAAACTAATGTTGTTGGAGCCAGAAAACCACGAGCATGTCCCCCACATATTTAATTAATTAATTAATTGTACCTGGCCCAAGAGAAAGCTGCATGCTTTAGGCTTTTTGAACATTCATGGTATCTTTACACTGCATATGCCCTTTACTTGATATGCCCATTATTACATTCACCATCTGTCCAGCTTTAGTCCTGTGCATGCGAAACTCAGTGGAACATTCTGGCTAAGCATGCATAGGCCTGGGGTTGCAGCTCTCCTGTAGGATGAGACACTTTGAGCTGCAAAATGGGAATAAGAAGGAAGACTGGAGCTGGCCTGGTCTGTCTGGTGAAGGCCTGTCTCCATGAAAACAAATGACAGTAGCACCAAGAATTGGAACATCCCTGAGTTCCAGTAGTAAATGGTGAGAACACCATAAAGGTCATGCCAGCAGTGACTCAGAGTGATAGATGTGTACAGTAATTAGGGAATGAAAGCAGAGAAACAAGGTAAAATAAGTCTCTTTGACTTTCCCCCATCAACTTAGTACTATCAAGGGCTGCAGCTGATGGCATTTAAGTTGCTTAAATGTTCACAGGATTGTAGCCAAGGTATGTGGGTGGGGAATTTGGCAGTCCAACAGAGACAGACCATGCATTTTCCCCTTTCTGTTTTTTAAAACAGTCCTTATGGCAAGTTCATGGCTTTCCCAGTCTTCTTATGGTGTAGGCAGATGATCAAGCAAAAGCGTTAACTCAGTAGAAAGGGAGCCAAGCACATTCCTAGAAAGCAGAAGCCTACTTCAGGTGTGGAGAGCAGGAAGGTTTAGAAGGGATATAGCCAACTAGCCCATATCCCTTATGGTTAGCCAATGAGTGCTTCAAAGCAGCTAGCAGAAACCACAAGCATAAAAAAAATTACTCAGCAGGTGATGACAGACGTCCACTAATCCCAAAGCTGCATGTCCTTGGTCTAGTGCAGGCAACTTCCACAGGCAGGCAGGCAAGATTTGACTAGTCAATCTGTGTAAGTCACAGCCATCCAGCCAGTACATCACACAGTTATCATGTGCCAGGCTGTTGGCCAATTAACCATTGCACACCGTTTCACAAGTAGTCACCCTTTCTACCCATACAGAGAACTCACAAGGCTCTACAATGTAGCTAGTATACCTAAGAAAACTTTCATCCAGACTAACCACACTTTAGCTCAGATCCACGCACAGGAGAACAAGAAGCTTAATTTCCAAGATGAGGAAGTGTTTCTTCCATGCAAACCTAAACCCTGAGCTAACATCTTGTGACCTGGAAGTATTTTCTGCAGTCCCAAACATCTGGATGATACTCTGCATATATTTAGAAGATTAGTGCTGCCACTCACTTAAGGCTTAAAATGAACCTAGGCTTAGAGTTGTGTTGCCAAAAAGTGCTCAGCTGTGGAACATGGGAAGTCATTAGTGCCTCTGAACATGTGCAAATGCTTTTATCTGCCATTCTGGAACTACAGCAAGCCCTAAGTACTGTTTCCAGGATGGTATATAGTGATACTACTCAGACTTGGCTTGAAGCCACATCTTGTGATGTGTGCCCTAAACCTAAATATTTGACTGCTGCTTGTTAATACTCGGGACAAAGGAGAAAGCATTCTGCACATGCTCAGCAGCCTCTGTCTTAAAGAAGACATGTTCTGGGACTGAGCCAGGTGCTGTGAGAGCTCTTCTGGAATCCTGCCATATATGTAATGTGCTTACAGTGCATCAGTATAGCTTTCCTGAATGTGATGACTTGGATGTTTTCATTTGTAGGTAGTTTTAGAGGTTTTGTCCATTTATTTATTTAGTTTGTTGAAAACTGCTTGGGCACAAACGGTTGGGATTAAGCCACATTGAATATAGGACCTGATTGACTTCTGAAAAGCATGCATAGGATCAGGATGCAAAAATTCATGTAAAATAAATGTACATCATGTTTTACTCAGTGGTAAGATCCATTGTGCACAACTTATCCCAAGTTAAGTGAGGATAGGATTCCAGCTTCTAAATTGGCTCCCCTGAAGCTCACCTCTCCTTTTGTAATTAAGATGCAGTCAGCAGGGGCTATGCAAAGATCATTTGATGCCTCTGTTATGCATTTAGAGCTACATTTATGGAAGAAAAATACAGTGGTGGGAATGAAAGGCCACTGGCTCTGATACTCAATTCTCTAGATTTTAACCAAATTTTCTTCTTAAACACTTATCCCAGAGATGGGCAACTTGTGATGTTTTGGCCAACAATACCCATGATCCTTCACCATTGGCTACACTAGGGCTGATGGGAACTGTGGCACTCCAGAATTTTTTTTTTTCATTTTGCTCTACAAGTTGCCCATCCCACCTTACATTTTCCAAACAGAGGGGATTTCTTTTTGCCTCGCTCTCATCAAAACCCTGAAGGTTTACTCATGTCCTACTGTCTCCCAGCTACAGCTTTCCTCAGCCTGGTGCCCTCCAGATATTTTGTTTCACAACTCCCATCAGCCAGCTAGGCCAATGGTCAGGAATGCCGAGAGTTATAATGCAAACATCCGGAGGCAGAGGCAATGTTAGGGACAGCCCAGAAGGGCTGGAGCTCCAAATCCTTCATTTGGAGCCCTGACTCTCTTGAAGGTCCTCTGCCCCCCCCCCCCCCCCGCTATCTGTGACCACTGGCTGGCACAATGCTAAGCGCGACCTCATGACCACCGTTGCATCGGAGCCCTCTCGACTAGCTGGGGTTTTGCCCACATTTGCTTTTCCTCCTGCGGTGCCCCACTTTCTGCCTAATTGGTTTTTTCCCCTGAAATCCAATGCCCTCCCTTCCCTCATCCCTTTTTAAATGTGGGGATGTCCTTAGGAGGCAGCGACCTTACAGCGTATATAAATTAGCATATGCAAATATGCTTGTCCTGCGGGCCGCAGCGCGGATCGTTATGATACCCAACACCGTCCAGCTTGGGCTGAAGCCTGCGATCCCGCGCACGCGCTGAAGTGTGGGGGGCGGTGGGTGGAGGGGACCTCGCGCGCCCTCCAGGGGGTTTCCTCCTGCGTCGAGCTGCCTAGGCACGGCTCGCCAGCCCCGCTCGAGAACCGGGCGGCCGTTTAATGCTCTTGTCTTTCTCCACTCTCGTTACACCTTTTAGGATAGTCATTGCAACGTGACGCCCTTGTCCTTTCAGGTGCAGGCGCAGCTGCAGCTGGACAGCGCCGTGGCGCACGCGCACCACCACCTCCACCCGCACCTGGCCGCGCACGCGCCCTACATGATGTTCCCGGCGCCGCCCTTCGGCCTGCCCTTGGCCACGCTGGCCGCGGAGTCAGCCTCGGCCGCCTCGGTGGTGGCCGCGGCCGCGGCGGCCAAGACCACCAGCAAGAACTCCAGCATCGCCGACCTCAGACTCAAAGCCAAAAAGCACGCGGCGGCCCTGGGCCTGTGACTCCTCCGCGCCGCCGGGCACGTTGCAATCCCTCCGCCGCCAGCCGAGCCGGGGGAGCCGCCGCCGGGGCCGCGTGGGAGCCCCCTCCGAGGCCGCCCCGCCCCGCCCGGCCTCTCCGCCGCCCCGGCGCGATCCGCCCCGGCCCCGCCCCCGGCCCCGGAGAGGGCCCCGCGCTTGTCCCGCCGGGCCCGGGCGACGTCAAATGTGCGAGACAAAGCAAGACTGCACGGGGAGACGAGCGCCCCGCCGGCCCCGAGGTTCCCCGGCACGGAAAGACTAGAGACAAAGGGGACCCGCGGGGAGGCCCTGCTCGATTCTCGCCCGCTGGAGTGGAGGGGAGCGGCCCCTTCGACTACTGCTCATCCTAATGCCAATATTAATACTAATAATGCCGAGGAGGAGGCGAAGAAAGCGAGCTACTCAAACTGGAGGGAAGAGAATCCTTATTTAAAGAATTAGATGAAATAGACGCGCAGCGGGGAAGTTCACAGGTTTTGAAACTGACCTTTTTCTGCGGAAGTTCACTTTAATACGAGAAATTTGATAAGAGAGGCGGGCCCTCCTTTCACGTTGCATCAGATACTTGAGTTTGAACAGCCACAGTCTGGAAAAGGAGACGAGAAGGAAAGAAGAATTTTAAAATATGGGACTGTGCGGGGGTGGGATGGGGAGAATAATTAAAAAGGGGTGGAAGAGAGACACATGATTATTTCTCTTCCAATTTCAAAAGGAAAAGTGATCGGGCATACCTCTGCTAGTAGAGTTCCGGTCTGCATGTATTTGGGTTTTTTCTTTCTTGGAATCCTTTTAAATCGTTTGCACTTCACCTTCATCTTTGGTAAAGCAACAATCAACACCTAATACAAGCTCACCCCCCTCACAATTTGGGGTTTTCCAGAGGGGAGGGGGGAAGGAAGACAGACAGACAGACCTGGTCCATAGACACATGCATGTTTGGACAGAAAAAAGTCCTGGCTGGAAAATACTGTGAGCTATGGGATTTTTTCTCTGTCAAAACATCTATCTAAACGTGCCCTTAAATGCTAAGGTGCCAATTCACAGAAATCTATGTTCAGCTCTTATGCAGAACTGCTCCCAGCGGGCTGAAGTGCCCCATGCCCTGGATAAGATTGCATTCTCAGTGACACAGAAGGCTGTCCTCTTTCGCACTTTTACTTGAGAAATAAATTATATTTAATTTTGAGTAAATGTGTGTGTGGGGAGAGAATCCATACTCTTAGCCACAGCACACTTCACGATTCTGCAAGCACCCTCTCCACCCAACTTTTTGTGTGCCGGTGTTTGCATTCAGCCAGTTGAAAAGGACTTGTTTGAAACATTTTGGTTGGTTTTAATGAAAGTATTACCATGCAGTCGATTTTAGATCTCTCCACCCTAGAAACTACAGGGTGACTTAAATGTGTTGGCATCTAGCAGAGGATTCCACATCACATAAAATCTCAATTCCAGTATGGCTGACATCGAGTCCATAGACTTCAAATAGACTCCATAGACATGGGCGTCAAGCATTTAGTGTTGCCTGATCTGCAGTCTGGTAAGGGCTGAAGCAAATAAGATTTTTTTCCTTCCTTCCTTCTCTCTCCATGTTAAAGATTGTATTACATCCAACAGCCTTCTACATGAAGTATTAGGTCAGTTTGAGGGTAAAAGGATGCTAATACACAAAAACATTTCTTTTGGCTATAACAACTTGTGAGTTGACCATTCTGTCAATCTCTCCATCCAAGCTCCTAACAGTGTATCCATTCCTGTAATCTTATGATATCTATCTATTTTGGTTTACTTACTGAAAAACATACATAGCTAGAATCTGAGGGACCCACAAAGTAGCCCATACGTTTCTCCACTTACAGCTTTTGAGAGTTGCGCTTTTGCCAAGGAAATGGGGAAGGGGGGGGAGGGGAGAAGAGAAAAACCTCTTTGCAAGTTGAACTCTGCTAGGAACAGAGCTTTGTAATTATTTGTTCTCCATGAAAACAAAACAAAAAATTATTTATATTGACCGTATTTTTTCTAGTGTATTTTAAGTTATTGAGGAGGGGGAAAGAAAGGGGGGGGGGAAGGCTGAGAAAAATATGCTGTTACTTCATTTTCATGTTGTTGTCAGCACGATCTATTTTGTTCCACTCAGGTTTGCTTCACTTTTGTTCGTTCATTGTTGTCACAATTTTCAATAAGTGCCAAGTTATGGATTTAAACACTTTGCAATCTATTGAATGGAAAAAGAGAGTAAAATTTTAGCTGATGGTTTTGCATAACTTCTGTTCCTGCTCCTATTAAATCAGTAGTGCCATTCTACCTTTTCTTATTTATTAATCTCCCCCATCTTTGGATCACCCCCAGTCTCTTCTCTGTGTTTCTCTCTTGTGTCTAATCCTTATGGAGTTTGTTTCTTTCTGTGTAATTTTTAAAGGGCAACCAATCTAGCAGACACCAGAAGTTAGGTGCTTCATCCTGTTCTCCTTAAAATTGGGTTTTGTGTACAATTTCACCTAGATCACTTCATGAAAAAGGTGATGCAAAGAATCTAAGCACAACTGAAGGGCTATTCACCATTTTTTCAAGAGTCACAGTGCAATCCTAAAAATTATCTTCCACAAGTAACAAATTGCAGTGAGATTTACACCACAGTAACTGCATAGGATTTCAGCCTTTCCTGAGAACCAGTCCTACTGACCTCTGTGGGACCTATGCTAGTAAGTTTGGGCTATAGGTCTTTTAGCAGCACAACCTATAAATGTTTATTCAGAAAAAAGTCTCATTGACTTAAGTCGGGCTTATTCCCAAGCAAATGGGTATAGGATTGCTGGCTAAGGCTGTAGTCTTAAACTTGCCTAGCAGGACCCATTTAATAGAGTGGAATTTACTTCTGAACAAATAGGCTAGTGCTGGATTATGAATTTCCTTCAGGTAGTACAGCTTGGGGAAGGGGTGGCCTGTGGATGTGTGTGTGTATCTAGGTTCTAGATTTATTATCTTTGATTCTAATTGCACTGAATGAAACAAAGGTCTTCCAGTTCTGCTTCGGAGCATTATATAGTATGATCCTCAATTCACTTAGCTGGCGAGAAAACCCAGCTGTGAAGGGAGACATATGACCGGAAGCCAGAATCCTACAAAGTTTACTGAGAAAGAACACACTGAATTCAGTATGAGACTTATTTTTTGGAAACTCTGGGTTATAGTTGCAGCCTTCCGCACTCCATGAAATTTTGGTGGGTGCCATCTCACGTCCATTCACGTAGGTGGAAATCCCATTGAATTCAGTGCTTCTTAAAGGGAGAAAAACGTGGAAGGAGGCTTGCCTGACTGCAGCCCCCCCCCCCCCAATTATCAGTGGTTCGCCCTAATCTTAGGATAGGGACAACAAATGGGATTTAAGCTGACCCAACTGTACACAACTGTGTGGCACTTGCTTCCGAGGACATAAAGTTAGGGGTGGAGAATAAGGCTGCGACTGAAAGCACATTCCTTTGAAACTCAGCTGAAGTCCCGGAGCCTTACTCCCATGCAATTAATGTTAAGAACCAAGCTTCTAGCCCCTCATTTCTCTGGCGCCTTTAGGCTTCAGCCCAAGCCGAGGCATGCTTGCTTTAGAGGTGAGGAGGAAATGGAACTTATTCAGGGTAGATATACTTAGGCTTGCGCCTCAGGACAACTCGAACATCCTCTGGATCGCACCAGAGTTTGACAGTCCGATGCTATCCACATTTACTGATAGGTAAATCGCGCAGGCTTCTATGGGACTAGCACCCGAATAAGTGCCTGCAAGATGCCTTCTTGCTCGGGCTGTTTCAATCTTGTTTCAAACGTCCGCTAGGAGAGAGAACCAGATACGCCTCTTTCCCTCGAGAATACGTCGTATTCCCCAGTTCCCAGATCAGAGGAAATGTAACCGGCTGTTCGCAACGAAGCCGCCCTGTTGCAGCTGAAGGTAAGGCTAGTCGACACGGCTTAGCCTTAGACTGACACCCTGCACACAGTTGCTCGGGGCTTCGTCCCATTGCGCTCGATGGGACTTAATTCTGAGTAGACACGGACTGCCCAGGAGGCAAGACTCTTGCGGGCTGGCGTTCAACCTTGAATATGGCCTTCAGCGCCATTCTGCCTACGTCAAGACGAACGGATTTGTCCCTCAGCTTGCTGCTCAGCACACACGTCAAACCGCCGTTAGAGTCGTTTCCGATTCCAAAAATAGCAATCAAAATAAGGACTTCTAATTGGAATGGATATGCTGAAAGCTGGAACGATCCCCCCCGCCCTTAACTGAAACCTAGCATGTTTGGGAACGTGAATGGGGCCGTGTAGACACGAATGTCCTCCACTATCACCACGCCAAAGAGCAGTCGGAGGTGATCCTTGCACGCCGGGGGTCATTCAGGGTGCGATCGTATGCAAGGGCAGACGGTGAGACAAGCCGCACAACTCCCCGCATTCCCCAGCCAATCCAGGACACGTTTAGGCGGAAAAAAGTCTTGCAGCGTTCCGCAGCGACGTGAGCGGCGGGAGCTTTTTCCTATCCGAATAGGCATAGGATCGTGCCCCAAAGCATCTTCTGGCTCCAAGGATGCCGCCCCCCGCGCCCCACAGAATGCCCAGACGGGGCTTTCCACTCGCCCTCCCGAGAAGAGCGCCACCTGGGCTCCCGCGGGGCAAAGCCCGCATCCAAGCCAGGGTCACCGGGAAAGCGGGCAGGGGCGGGCGCGCCGTCTCTCGCCGCACCTGAGCGCCCCGCCGTAGGAGCGCAGTGCCCGCCTCGCAGCCTGTCCCTCCGCGCTCGCCAGGCCGGCCCGCCCGCCCTTGCAGCGCAGGCGAGCAGGCGAGCAGGCGCCCAAGCCTCGTCCGGCTCTGGCGCGCTCCAGCCAGACGAGGTGAAAGCGAAGCGCATGGCATTCCGCGGACGGCTTGGACTTCAGCTCCCATAATCCCCCAGGCAATCGCGGCCAACCTAGCAGGTCACCCGGCTGGGGAAGGCTTTT